AAAACAGATTATCCAGTTGTCCAGCTTTTAACCTAGATTGCACTCGCTTAGAATTACCTTCAGAAACGAAGCACTTTGCAGATACAAAAGCAGTCTCACCTACTTTTGTACCTCGGAATTGCAAGGAACTAAAACTGCAATTTAGTAGAGAGGGGGGGGGACAGGGAGGGAAGATCAGAGCGGTTTCTTTGGTTCTCACCTTCTAAATGGCTCAATTTGCACAGTATAATCTGTTTTAATGTAATTGCACTTGATAGCCCATAACCTTGGCTGTTGCCGCTATACCAGCTTTCAGCCTGACAAAGTGTTTCCCCCCTGAATTTAAGCTGAATCTCAATCTAAAATTACACTCAAAGCGAGGGAGGAGGAGGGGGGGGGGAGGAAATATCGGAGCGCGACTGCTAGGGCTGCCTCTGCCTCTCCATTTGTGTGAGCGTTGCACCTTTGCCGCTGAATAAATGCCCTCCTCTCTCCCAGGGACCCCCCGCTTATTCTTCCGCCAGGTTTTAATGGAGAATTGAGAGCATTCCCAGCTCAGCAGCGCCATCTGCAGCTTCGGTTTCGCTAGGACTAGAAGGACCCCCATCAAATAGAGAATTTCTGAGTAACTTTTGTCTTTTTAGGTCTGCTCTCCTTTTCATTACATTGGACTTACCTGCAATTTTAATGACTGCATCGTGAACATCGCAGTTCCCTGTAAGGACAAGAGAAACACACAGGCACACAGAGAGAGACGCAACTGAATATTTGCACGTTTCAATCTGCATTATGCATATTATTTTATAAACATTTTCTCTCCATCTCAGACTTTTAAACAACTGCCAACGTTCACCAAAATCACTGCTGGCATCAACTTTTCTACATCAGACAAAGATCCATGTGTGATTTTTGAGTCTCGCCCTTTCCCCCCAAAAAAGTTGACCAAACTTGAACAAGGCTCAGATTGGTTTAGGATAGAAAATAATTTTCTGAACTTTTATATAGATATAAAACAGGTCTAGGTTACAGAAATTAATTTCAGTCAAACAAAACCCCAGGAACAACAGCAAAGAGAAAATCAAAAGGAAAATCACTGTGAAAAGATTTTATTGCCTTAGCTATAGAGGTGAATCTTTTATTGTGTGTTTACTGTACAGTCATAACCTGACTCATTTCTATTTCTTTCACCTTTCTAAAATATACTCCAGTTCTGATATTTTGACACTGCAGTATATATGAAAAGTATTTTCACACATGCTTACTTTAATCAAATGCTTGACCGTTTGGATGAAGAGATAATAAGGCAGACTGAGATTTAGGGTACTCAGAACTTTTGTTGCAATATCCCTTGATATTAAGAGGCTGGAAGTATCTCTTCTGTAATTGAATTACTCCACCAGTCCAAGCTATGTCAGCTAGTCCTGCAGAGGACATCAATGTCTAAAGTAAAATACTTGCTTGCCCACAAAAATGTATATAGATAGAGAGATAGAGTACGGGCGAGAGAGGGCGAGAGATTTGGATTTCTATTTCCAAAATTAAGGATTACACTTTCAGAATGAGATAATTAAATACTCAGAACAAGTTTCTGCTGCTTGCTTAATCCAGGAAAACACCTCATCCCAGTTTTCAGGATACTTTTTTTCCGGACCTTTACAACGGATACAAGGCTAGTCTTTCAAAAGCATGATAGCAAGCTCAAGTCGGATACGCTTAATACCTATTTTAATTAGATTCCTTATCCTTAACTCAAATGGCTTTGCCTTCCTCTTTCATTTTTGAACGCTTAATCCTAACAGTCCTTG